CGTTAAAAGTAGTGTGACAAATGTTTAACTCTCTAGTACCCCCTCAAAAAGTAAAGAACAATAAAGAAAAGAAAAGTAGAAAGAAAGAAAGAAAGAGAAACGAAAAAGAGGTAATAAAACGAGGTAAATAAAGTAGAGAGTGTCACAAAGAATCAAAGAGTTTGCTCTAGGTGAGGTTTCTTGGCACACAAGCCATTAAAACCTCATCATTGTCTTAGAACTCCTTCACTACCAAATCGAAAGGTGATAGAAAGAGCAGACCGAGGAAGAGCGCTTAAGGGAAGTTCATGATGGGTGATAGTTTGGAAGAGAGAAGCAAAGTTTTTGTCCGATGCTAGTGACCGTTGTTTGTAAGGAAGGTTAGTAGTCGAAACCATAGAACCTTCGATTTTAGGGTGAAGATGTAGGACCTCATGATGTTTTTGCCACCACCCAAAAAGCATTTTTTTCCCATGTCCAAGACAATCGACAGTCATTTGAAGCCGTGTCTAAGACCTCCGGACAAGCTAGTGATGACAACCATTCCATGAACTCTAGCATCTAGAGGTTGTCGCTGTGGTGTTGAGACGATAGGGTCGAGAGTTGATGATTGTGTAGATTTTGTGCACCAAAAATTATCGACCCCACTGGTCAAGAGAGTGAGTGATTCATTCTTGTTTTGCATGTCATATCATACCCCGGTGACGACCTTTATTGCCCATCCGTTTGTTCCTTGGACTTGAACTCTATGCATGGTTAGTTGTGGTTGGTAAGTGATCTTGTTGAAACTTGCATTGGTTCATGAACAAGGTGAGAACTTTTCATTTGCCCGTTTCTAATAGCCTCGAATGTCGTTTGTGGTGGATGTCGGTATTGCTTGCAACGGTCCTCACCACCGTTCAAGGGATATTTTTAACAATTTCGAGGTATATATAATTCTTCAACCTTTTTTATATTTTATTTTGTTAACGTACTTAGTGGTTTGTAAAATAAATTTGTTAATGGTTAATCATATTGATTATTATCAATAATTTGGACTATAAAATGTGACACTTACTTAGACTCTTTAAAAAGAGATGCATGTCCAAGGAAATGGGGTCTTAAGCGATCATCGTGATCCTCCCATTTCCCGGAAAAATCGGGTCTTAAGAGATCCTCGGATCCCCCATTTTTATGTAACAAATGTTGTGTTGCTAAGGAGATGTCCCCTCCTAAGAGTCTAACGATTGTACTTGTATTGGATTAAATCATTGAAAACAACCAATGCGATTTACAAAATAGTATAATGGATTTATGTGTATGTGTATATCTTCCAAAAAATATATGGTATTCATTTTGTTCATTTCAATTAATTAGTTCAATTGATTTATGTGTAAATCTTTCAAATTCTATTCATTTTAGTTAATTGAATATGTTTGATATGAAGAAATTTATATATATATATATGGGTGATTCTATCGTACCTTGGGTAAAATCAAGGGTACAACATACCATGAGTAAAAAAATGATATCTAGACCTCGAATTGAGCATAGTTTGGCATCTGATATTATTCCCAAACCCTTAAGGATTAAAATCTAGGTCTTAGTTTTATAAATCTCATACACTAAGATCAATTTAATTAGAAACAAAAATCAACGGCTATGATTTGTCGAAATATATGAAACAAATTACAGGCACAATCTTAGGGATTAGGCTCTTTGATTTAGAAATCTAAGACCTAGGTATCAATCATCAAGGGTTAGAGTATAGTATTATGCCCAAAAATCCGGTTAATTCGAGGTCTAGATAGCATTTTTTTACTCATGGTATGTCGTACCCTAGATTTTACCCAAGGTACGATAGAAGCCACCAAAATGATATTTATTTTTGTTAATTTAATTTGATCGTTATAATAGATTTATTGCATTTATAAGTAAATCATAAACTTATGGATGTAATTTTGTTCGCTAGAGTGCACACCATATTGTCTACTATAGGGGTATGAGCGATGTGCTCTCATATAACGACGCTATCTTGCCTAATCTGAAAAGGGCAAGGTTGGATTCTACCAGACACTTTGTCGTCATAAAGTTTGACTGTAAACTCATCACAGCATTGGTGGAGAGATGGCGAAAGGACACACACAACTTCAACTTTCGTGAAGGAGAGTGCACCATGACATTGAAGAACATCGTCATCCTAACCCATTTGCCCATCGATGGCGATGTGGTGTGTATGAACGATCGTCCACCAACTTCATATGAGAAGTATATGAACGGTTGGCAGGGATGATCTTCATATACTTCACCCTCACCGTGGATACCAGATGTTTGTCCATCTGCAGGATGACCTCCACCTACTCAGCGTAAACAAACATCTATGCTTTGGAAATGTTATTGACCATCAAAAATATGAGCATGGTATCAATTTCTCCTGAGTGGTTATGAGCAATTCCTCATGCCACAACGACCTACCTTCTCTGTTTGGATACCAATACACCATACGATCAACTCTCCTCGTGCCCTCCATGCAAGTAACTGTAGTACACATTTGACGGAGCTCTTCAAGGTTCAGTCTTGTAGCGACCTTAACTTTCTGAAAAGAACCACCAACATAACGTACCCTCTTTCTAGTCTCTTCCGTGTAACCATTCCACCGTAACCCAAGCGTGAACTTTTGGAAAGACATATGTAATAAAAAGTAATACAAAATAAACTATAAAAAAAGTATGGAACAGAACAAAAATTTTAAGAAGGAGAGGGAGTGAAGAGCTGATGTTTCCGTATCCTCCTTTTATAGGCAAAATGTCCAATGAAAACCACTGGGACAGGTGGCGGTTTCTCTTGCCAACCTAGAACCGCCTAGGCCACCCACAGTTTGTTCTATGGCAAGCCAATAAACTGGCATCTGGCCTAGCGGTTTCTGCCCGAAATGAAAATTGCCACCCTGTCTAATGGTTCATATAAAAACCGCTTCCCTACATTGTGGTTTATGTGAAAGGGTACTAGGGATGGGATTTTTTGAAAAGGGTGGGATTTTTGGAATTTTTTAGTTTTACGGTGCTATTTTTGGGGGAAAAAATCTCCTTTACTTCAATACAGACCTTACCAGTTACCACACCCAATTTTTGCACGCTTCCGAGTTGGTAAATCCATTCCCAGAGGCCTACCTAAAGAACTTGCTATTCAACCAAACCCTTCCTTAGAGGTAAGTTCAGCAGGAATGTTTGACAATCGAACCCGCAAAAGAATAACAAAATTATCAATATATAATGGTCTAATTCCCAACTCCCACTTACGCAAGCACACAAGATTATCCCGAAGATGCCAAGGGCTTCTTTCGAAAACTGTCACGGCCTTACTCTCGATCGTGCGACTTTAGCTCTCAATTCCATTAAAGAACTAAGCAGCCTTTTCTCAAATTCTCGTGCAAGCAAAGAAAGCAAGAAGAAAGACAGAGTAGATGGCCGTAGGGATGGCAATGGGGCGGGTTTGGGGCGGGTTTGCCTAAACCATCCCCATCCCCATCTTCAAATACCCAAACCCATACCCGCCCCATACCCATGCGGTGGAATGTTTTGCAAACCCATCCCCATACCCGTGGGTTTCGGGTACCCATGGGTAATACCCATCCCCGTACATCCAACATTATTATACCTAAAACTTACAAGAAAAGTTCTAATTATAACCATAAACAAACCTATTATATCACGAAGTCAACAAAACACGGTCATTTTCTAAATACGATTCAAAGAATATGATCCTAAAACATCCATTAATACATAATATAGACTATAATATTTTTTAAATTATTATGCTCTAACTCTTGATACATTTACTAAGTAATAATTAACTAACATAATTTTGTTGACAAGGGGGAAAGTGAAAGAGTGGAAGGAGAATTGAGGGAAATGAATTAGGTTTTGATTAAGGTGGTTACTCAATTGCATTTCTACTATTTATTTTCTCGAGTTATCATCATCATTGATAGATTACAATTTAATCCACGTATTTTTTGATATGTGAAGAAATTCTCTTGGTGGGGCGGGTATGGGTATGGGTATGGGGCGGGGGAGGCTAAAACCATACCCGCCCCATACCCATCAAACCTTTTGCGGGTTTTACCCATACCCGCCCCATACCCGGTCAAAGCGGGGATTCCCCGCGTTGACTGGGTATGGGGCGGTCGGGTACCCGCGGCCATGGGTTTGATTGCCATCCCTAGATGGGAGAACTCTCTAGTATGTATTACTCTAAAAAAATGATGGAATTATTTACAAGTGAGGGAGATGACTCCTTATATAGACCTCTTCTCATAAAAGGCATCAATGCCCCTCATAATGTCTCTCCTCTACATCAATACACCCATCAAGTTCCCCCATAATGCACTCTAATAATGTCACACATTATGTGACTCATCATAAGTGCACCATTAAGCCCTCATTTAGGTGGAGAATCCTAGAGACATCTTTATGCTTCTAGTCTTCCATACCGCCACATGCGCATGCCATGTTGTCACCCTGTTGGCGCCATGTCATCTGCCACATGTGACAAAACTCACTGACAAATTTCAGTATTAGGAAATTTGAACAGAATAAATCAATTACCTAACCAAGAAACCCGCACCTCACCATCTCTTCCTAAGAGCCAATTCGCCCAATACCTAATTGCAAAAATCGACGATGGACACCCAAGGAACTGACCAACCAAACTATGATTTCATACCTTCGCTCCTTTTTCGATGACCTTGAGTGGAATACAAAGAGACCCATTCACATACTATGCCTCAATATAATGCAATCAATTTTCAGGAGCTATATCAAACAAGGATGTCCATGATCGACCGTCACCGAAGGCAACAACACCATCGGTGATGATCGCCATAAGAGAAAAAAGTGACGCGATTAGATATCGATTTTAGAGAGAAAATAGAGAGAGAAAGAAGAGAGAGAACCATTCCAATTTTTGTATGTGAATTTTTAATAACTTGAGATTGATTAATAATTAAAGAAGTTCTTTTTCGAATTATGGACAGAGTGGTGTGGCAGTGGAGATCAGCAGCCAGCAGTGGTCCTCTTTCTCCTTTTTCCTCTGTAATGGCCGTTCTTTTGGTTTCTTTTCTATATTTTAAGGGTAAGACAGAATGTCCTTCTCTCTCTTACTTTCTCGGACTTTGGACTCTAATGGAGCCCCGCCCCGAGTCATGGACACTTTTTTTTTTCTCTCTCTCTGCCCTTGCGACTGCCACACTACATTCTCCTGCTACCCTTTTCTTCCCCAGCTTAGTGCTACAACAATCACCATTAGCAATGGCGGGATTAAACAAACTCCACTTCCGCGCCTGATTATCCTTCTTTCTTTCTAGGGTTCCCTCTTTTCTACCCGCGCCGCCCACCCCACTTCCATTTGTTCCCTCTCCTCATCCTTCTTCGCATTTTCAATTTTTCATGGGAGCTAGCTAGCTAACTTTCACTCTAGTAGCTTACTACAACCATGCTCTGCTTCAAATTCTTCCTCTGCCTCCTTCTTCTGGCCTCCGCCGCCGGCGTTCACTCTCTTGACCCGACGCTGAACGACGACGTCCTGGGCCTAATCGTTTTCAAAGCGGGACTCAGCGACCCTCATTCCAAGCTTGTTTCCTGGAACGAAGACGACCCGACTCCCTGCAACTGGGTCGGAATCCAATGCAGCCCGGTTACCAGTCGGGTCACTCATCTCCTTCTCGACGGATTTTCCCTCTCCGGCCACATTGGCCATGGCCTCCTCCGTCTCCCGTTCCTCCGGATTCTTTCCTTGTCCAGAAACAACTTCACTGGCGAGATAAACCCCGATCTTCCTCGCCTGCTCCCAGGTCTTCGGGTCGTCGACTTGACCGACAACCATCTCTCGGGCGAAATCCCCGACGGCTTCTTCCAGCAATGCGGCTCCCTCAGGTTCGTTTCCTTCGCCAGAAACGACTTGACCGGCCGGATTCCAGCTTCCTTGACAGCTTGCTCCACGCTCTCGACGCTCGATTTCTCCTTCAACCGTCTCTCAGGTGAACTTCCCACTGGTTTGTGGTCTTTGACTGGGATTAAATCTCTTGATTTGTCTGATAATTCGCTGGAGGGAGAGATTCCTGAAGGAATTTCGAGCTTGCCCGACTTGAGAACCGTTAGTTTTAGGAAGAACAGCTTCTCCGGCCAGCTCCCGCCTGATATAGGAAGCTGCCCGGCTGTGAAAGAAGTCGACTTCAGTGAGAACTCCCTATCTGGTCCCTTACCGGAGACATTGCGCAAGCTTAAGTCCTGTGTGTCTCTGAGTCTCGCCGGAAATTCATTCACAGGACAAGTCCCCCACTGGATAGGAGAACTCACTAGCCTAGAAAGTCTGGATCTTTCTGCTAATAACATTTCCGGCATTGTTCCCACCTCAATAGGCAGACTTAGTCAGCTGAAGCATTTGAATCTGTCAATGAACCAGCTCCTGGGAGATTTGGCAGAGTCTATTTCGAGTTGCCGTAACCTTTTCAGCCTAGATGTCAGTCGCAATCAGCTTGCCAGTAGTAACCTTTCTTCATGGCTGTTCAACTTGGCTGCTCTTCACAACCTCGAGGCGTTAAATCTGTCTTCAAATGCCCTCTCTGGTGAAATCCCTCCCAGCATTGGTGCTCTCGCTAGCTTGCTGGTGCTTGATCTAAGTTCGAACATGTTGAATGGAACCATACCTTCTGAAATTGGTGCAGCAGTTTCACTAGTGAAACTCAACTTGAATAACAACTTGCTCACAGGCAACATTCCGTCTGATATCAACAACTGCTCCTCTCTAACATCTCTGTAAGTCAGCTTCTCCTTTCTACCATCTTCACCAAGCCTATTACTGAAATTTCGGTGTTGTGACCGGACTCTACTCCCTTTCATCTGCTGCAGAATCTTGTCAAAGAACAAACTCACAGGTCCAATCCCAGCAGCCATTGGAGACCTCACCAGCCTCGAGTTCATCGACCTATCTTTCAACAACTTCACCGGTACCTTGCCCAAGGAGCTAACCAATCTCTCCCACCTCTTATCCTTCAACATATCTCACAACAACTTGCAAGGAGAGCTCCCAGTTGGTGTTTTCTTCAATTCCATCCCACCTTCATCTGTAGCGCATAACCCTTCATTATGTGGATCCGTAGTGAAACGATCATGCCCTTCCAACCATCTCAAGCCAATAGTCCTTAACCCCGACTCTGCATCATCCGACTCATCTCCCGAATCCTCATCGAGCCATCACTATCATCGAAAAGTCGTGCTAAGCATCTCGGCTCTGATAGCAATCGGTGCAGCCGCCTTCATCACCCTCAGCGTTATAGCTATCACCCTCCTCAACATCCACGTGAGATCGTCCATCTCACGCACAGCTGCAGCAGCAGCAGTAGCATTCTCTGGTGGTGGCGAAGACTTCAGTTGTTATTCATCCGGTAGTGATTCGAACTACGGCAAGCTCGTCATGTTCTCCGGAAAAGCTGATTCTCTCGCCGGTTGTCATGATTTGCTCAACAAGGACTTCGAAATCGGGCGTGGCGGGTTTGGAGTCGCTTACAAGACAATGCTCCAAGATGGTCGATCCGTGGTTATCAAGAAGCTAGCAGTTTCGAGTCTGGTGAAATCCCAGCACGAGTTCGAGAGGGAAGTGAAGAAGCTTGGGAAAGTGAAGCACCGTAATCTCGTGGCGATGGAAGGCTATTACTGGACTCCGTCGCTGCAGCTTCTCATTCACGAATGTGTATCCGGGGGAAGCTTGTATAAGAATCTTCACGATGAAGCAAGTAGGTGTCTACCGTGGCGGCAGAGGTTCAATGTGATTTTAGGAATGGCGAGGGGGATTGCGCTGTTGCATAGCATGGATGTTGTTCATTACAATCTGAAATCGAGTAATGTGCTGATCGACGAAGGCGGCGAGGCCAAGGTAGGGGATTTTGGGCTGGCGAGGTTGCTGCCGACGCTGGACAGATGCATTCTGAGCGGGAAAGTGCAGAGTGCTTTGGGGTACGTGGCGCCGGAGTTTGCTTGTCGGACGGTGAAGATAACGGAGAAGTGTGACGTGTATGGGTTTGGGATCTTGGTGTTGGAGGTGGTGACCGGGAAGAGACCGGTGGAGTACATGGAGGATGACGTGGTGGTTCTGAGTGATGTGGTGAGGAGAGAGCTGGAAGATGGGAGGTTGGAGGAATGTGTCGATGTTAGGCTCAGAGCTGAATTCCCGGCGGATGAGGCGATTCCGGTGGTGAAGCTTGGGTTGATTTGCGCGTCTCAGGTGCCGTCGAATCGGCCGGATATGGAAGAGGTTGTGAAGATCTTGGAGCTGATACAAAGTCCTGCAGATGGTCAAGAGCTGATGGAGTGATTAGCAAATAGGTCTTGTTAATTCGAAACCACATATTTGTATTCTGTACACTGTTGACAGTTAATCTGTAACCCATTTTGCTTTGAGCCTGAACTCGTTCCACTTTCAAATCTTTCTTTTGAAATTCAGTGATGAATTATTCTAAAACGATTTACAGGAGGCGGCTTATGACGTTGTTGTTTCCAACTGAACAAGTCTGTGATGAGGCGGCTTATGACGTTGTTGTTTCCAACTGAACAAGTCTGTGATGAGGAAAGGTCTCACTAGCTCATAATTCTCTTCCAATATCATTTTTCTAGACTAACTATCGGAATTGTTTACAGCTTCACTTCCCTCTTTCTTTTGGATTGCAATATAAACGGCTTTCAGTAATATAAAAAGAAAAAACAACGTAAAATTTTACAGAAGGCCATGAAACATCTCCCACCGGCCACCTCAGTTATGAGATGACAAGTATCTGAAGCACATCTCTAGGCGCTCATATGATTACACAACTACAAAAACCGTCGAAAACAACAGCAAACCTTTTGAGAACGATTTACATTTGAAACTCGGACCAATAAAATCATCTACTTCTTGTTTTGTGTGTATCTGGTATTCATTTTTTTTTTTACCTCGGTGAGATTCTGTGTCTTCACATGCAAAAATCCTAGTCGTCCCAGTTGTTATCCCATGAGTCTCTGTTTGAAGATCTAGCAGTGAGGCCAGTGCCGGAGATGCTCCCTCGTACAGCTGGCGACTTGACTGAGTTATCATCGTTCCAGTCGTCATCCCAACCATCATCCCAACCTTCTGCCGTTTCCAGATCGTTAGGTAACTCGTTATCTGGGGCAGCCATCTCGAGTTCTTGATAAGGCAATTCGCCCTGTGCTACTCTGCCCTTCCTAAACAAGCAGCAACAACCCCATATTACACCGAATAGAACCACCGTGAGAATCAGTAGGTATGCACCGTTGACAGGGGTCAATAGCTTGTCGTAAGAAGGGAGACGGAAGACAAAGTTCCCTGCCTGACTAGTCTGAATCAATCCGGGGTCCATGTGGAGAACGCATTCTGCATTCCCTGCTTTTAAAATTACTTGGTCACTTTTGCCAACTTGTAAATTAACCTGAAAGAACATGAAAGCAGACATCCCCAGTTACAAAATAAAGGCTAATACGATTTTGTGTTACAAGGTGAACGCTCAGTATCAATGGTGATTCAAATCACGTCTTCTAACTCAATGCAAGAGAAACTAAATTCATGACATGAAAATCTTGCAGATATTAAATCAGCAAGGAATTGCAACTAGACAAGCAAGAATCTGCAATTGGATGTCTTTCTCAACCAAGGTTGTAACAAGGTGGACACTCACTATCAATGGCAAATAAGATCATGTCTTCTCACTCAATGCACAATAAACTAAATTCAAGACATGTAAAACCTGCAGACATTAAATCAGCAAGGAATTGCAACTAAACAAGCATGAATCTGCAATTGGATGTCTTTCTCAACCAAGATTGTGAATACCCTCTAGGATGAATTCCGAACATAATCCAGTTGGTGTCGAACTATGAAGAATCACAGTATCTATAACAATCACTACCTTTGTACTTTGATGTTTGCCGATTTGAATTGATGAATCATCCAATGGATTTGGAGCAGAGAGATCCACACTCAAATTTTGTTCTCCAATATTTTGCACTAGAACAACAAATCTCCTTGACTCTGTCAAAAAGGAATCAATGAAATGACAAGTCTGATACGACTGTAAGAATATCACAACAGGTTGCAAACCAGGAAGTAATAGACAAACACTTCCACCCAAGTGAGGCAGTGACATAGGCCAAAAGGGATTCGAAGTAGAACAGTACAATCAGCAAACAAAGTTGAGGAAAACACAAAAAGTTGAATAAAATCTTTTCATTGCCCAAACACCATAGATCGCATAAGCTTGGTTTGGAGATACAATTCATCTACGGAGCAAGAGTTACGATCAGCAAAAATCCTGTTTAACACAAGAAATCAAGTCTGTAGCAGCAAAGGAAAAACTAAAGCTGCCACATTCATTCTCCAACACAACACAACGCAACCAACATACTATATCCTTCATTTATAGAAGTACATAGAGCCAAGGAGATGATTTTACCAGTTGTGCCTTGCGGTGGAAGAAAAGGAAAGCCATTCGCACTTAACAAAATAATCAAACTCAACCAGATGCCTTTAAATAGAAATGGGTGAAATCCCGGATCACAATGCTTACCCTCATTAAAACGAAGAAAACAAGCAACCAAGGAATTCTGGTCAGTACACCTCGTAGGCAACCCTGTACAATTTTCTCCACCCTCCAGCTGCTGCTGCTGGGGCACTGTTTTGTTCGTATCTGTCTTCTTCTCTTCGTCCTTCTTCCCACCCTCCTCGGCTCCTCGGGTACTCTTTGGAGGAGGAGCAGGTGTTTCTGTGCTATTGGAGCCGACGGGGGTTGGATTTGCCGATGGTTTTGGCATCTCGGGTGTTTTCGTGGTTGAATTATCCGCTGTAGTTGGAGTTACCGGGTTTTCCTTTGCTGGGTTCTCCACAACATTCGAATTACCTGCGGTCGTGTTATCATTCGTTGCCTTCTTTTTATCAACCACCACAGGATTTGGAGTCGGCGACGGAGAGACCTTCGCAGTGAAAGACACATATATAATAATCAAATCAATGCCGCAAGAAGAATAACAGCAACGACGGAGAGGAAGTGATCCAGAAACTTACTTGGGCTCCGCCGGAATCCTGAGGAGTCACCAATCCGGCCAACTTCTTCCGGAGGCCGGAGAGCCTTGCCGCGCTGGAAACATCGGCAACGATCAAAACCAGGAATATTATTGAAATGAATCCATCCCGTTTCCGCCCCATTTACAAACAACACTACTTCTCTGCTGCTCTAATCTTTACAGCTCGAATCTGAGATCAGATCTGACGACGGATAATTCCGCCCATTGCCGCCGTGAATTCCCGCGGGATCTAGATCTTTTACCGGGTGGGAGAATTCCCCGATTTCCAGCGACAGGGTTTCAAAACGCAATAGTCACGGAGGGATTGAATTGAAAGAAAGAATAAGCAAAGACAAGCATGTGGAAAATTTGACTGGACGATGGCCGCGGCCGGAGAGGGAAGAAAACCAACTAAAAAGGAAAAACGCTCGACTTTGACACGCACAAACGGCGGTGCGAAATACAGAGATTATCCCGCTGTAAAGAAAGCGTGATTGCCAGCCCAATTGGGCCTCCGTTCGGCTCAGTTGACTGGCAAGGCCCATAATAAAGCGGACAAGATTGTTGGGTCCAGATTTCCTTCAGCTAGTAAAAGCCCAGTTTTCCCCTTCAGCGTGGGCCCTATTTTTCTTTTTTAAATGTGTGGGCCCGTCGTTTTTAGTTTCTGAAGCAGGCAGCCAGTCTATATAATGGAACCAAGTCCAAGAGCATAATTTGGCGCAGATAGGAGAAGAGAAGAGGCAAAAGGGAAGAATAAGATAAAGTGAAAAGGTGGAGAGATAGCTGCCTGCCGGTGAGTGTGTAGATTTCCCACTCATCACTCGTCGGTCGGTGTCTTTTGGGGTTCCGATACTTTGAGTTCAATTGCGGCTACTTGGGCTTCACTCCCAACAGTCAGATCAGCTTCTACAACACAACATTTTGCAAAGGTAAAAAAGAGAGACCCACAACAACGTTAACATATAGAGAACCTTTCTCCTTACCCTCCGAATCTTAGTCGGGTCGGATCTCATCTCTCCTTCCCAGTCCGTGTCTATTAATAGACCTGCGATGTAATGTGAATTTGGGCAAGGAGAGGGGGGAAAAGGAAATGGAAGAAATTGCAGTTGTGCTGAAGAGGTTTGGAGACGAGCAGAGCAGTCTATTAGATCAGTTCGAGAGGCTGTCGTTTGAGGTGCAGCTTAACCAAGCGATACTGGCCCGCAGCCTGTCGGAGCCCGGAGTCGGACCTGGGGCCGGAACGGGTCGATCCGGGCTCCGAACTCCCTTGAATCGGAAAGAGCAGAGAGCTGCAGCAGTTGGGCTGACGAAGGTGAAACACGGGCAGGAAACCGAGCCGGAGCGGCGGCGCCGTGGGTCGAGTTTTACTTTTAACAAGCTGTGGAAGAAGCTGCTGAAACCAATTCTGGGTAGAAAGACGGTCAACAAGGCAACCGCTGCTGCCCCTGCCCCCGCCCCAGGGAAAAGGGCAGACTTTTCGGGTCCCAAATTGTGCAAGGCTTTCAGCAGATCAGTGAGGTTTTGAAATGATGAATACCCTTTTTTTGGAATTTGAGAGTGGCAGTCTGGAACTGGCAGACAGCCTGCGAGACTGATCAGAGGCGTATCATCATTACTTGTGATTACTATTCCTATGTTTGATTTTATTCATGTTATTGTTTGATTTGCTATAATATGATGATCTATACTTACGATGTATACAAGTAATCGGAAGTCGACGGTTCAATATATAATGGTTAATTTGAGTGACCGGGGCAGCTTTCTCTGGTCATAATGTTGAAGAAACTCGATGAGGTTGGGCTAATTCATGCCTGGAGTGGGTGAACAGAAACCCAACAGGCGAGGCAACCATAGCAAATTAGCAACGCCTCGCCGGCCGCCATGGGCCATGCCAGCAGTGAGCAGTCAAATTGAAGGAGTGGTAACCAACCATCACTTTCAGCACTTTAAATAAAACAGCCCTCGAAATGAAGGCAATTTACCCCCTTCTTAACTCTTAACTTGACTGGCTATGGCTGACTCTCCTTGGTAAAACCATAAAAGATGACAACATTACATACGAACTCGTCACTTTGCAACAAAATCTTGACCCACCAAAGAATAAATGAGCAAACAAATTAGGTAATAGGAATCGATTATGAGAAAAAAGGGAGCAAGACCTACATTATTATTGACTAACTGTCTGTTAATTCCTTAGCACGCGGGAAAGTGGGCAATCTTCATTGTGGGCTTTTGCTTGGATGACCCAAGATTTCAGCAGTGGCACATTACTGTTCCAGATTAACTAAATCGAGTCTTCTTTCTCCAATCTAGTTATGCTCCTAACAAGGGCTTTTGTTAGGAGATACTGACATGGCTGGATGGGCCTCCACGTCGCCTAGCCGCCATCCATCGGTGGAGGAGAAAACACGCCAAAATGTGAGGAAGGAGAGCCGATTTCATCGGCTGGGCCAAGTCCATGATGGCTTGCGGGACCCGCCGGGCCCACAAATTCAAAAATCCAGAAAAAATTTACCCTCAACCCTACCCCTTTTTAAGTTCTCCGCCAAATTAGTTTCCCCCCCCCCCCCTCTCTCTCTCCCTTTCTCTCTCCCTTTCCTCTCTTTTTCCCTTTCCTCCTCTCCCGAACGCAGAAGAAGCGGCCGTGCGGTGCGGCGAACTCGCCAACGGCGATCTCGGCGGCAAAGATCTCGGCGGCGGCGCTTTGCAGGCAACTCGGCGACGGCGACGAAGGGGTTGGTTGACGGCGGTCGTTGACGAAAGAACAACTTCGTTGACTGAGGTAGTCGAGTTTTTTTTTTCCTTTGTTCATGGATACTCATGTTCGTTTGAGTAGATTGGAGTTAGGGTTTCATGGCTTCGACTAGATCTGGGTTTTCCTTTTCCTACGTTTTTTCTGGATGAGTTTGATGGATTTATTTTCTGGTAACTTAGATTTGACTGGATCTGGGTTGCTTTTTTTATTTTTTTTATTTTGTGGATATGTTTTCTGGGTTTGTGGATTTGATTGGATCTGGGTTTGGGTTGCTGGGTTTGTGGATTTGACTGGATCTGGGTTTCATTGTTTTCTGGGTTTTGTGGATATGTTTTATGTGCGTTCCGATATTAGTTATGTTCGGCCAGGATATCAGTTTTCAATTGTCTGGATAGTTGTGTGGTTGGGATCTAGGATTCGATTTGTAGATCCGAAACATTAGTTCCTTTCATAGTGGATAACAATTAGCATGCTTGGGATACTACTTTTTTTATGATGTGGATATTGTTCTGTAATTGATTGTTCGAATATTAGTTATGTGATGTCTGGATATTTATTCGTTGTATCTGGATATTACTTCTATAATGTTAGTTCTATGATGTCCAGATATTGAAAATATTATGTCCGGATATTTGTACTCCATGTTTGGATATTTGTTCTCCATGTTTGGATATTTGATTGGTCTTTATTGTATGGATTATAGTTACATTATATTAGTTCTGTGTGGCCAGGATATCAGTTGATTTATACGTGGATATTTATATATGCCCCAGGGATATTGCACAATGGCAAGAACAAAAACAACAGCGAAGAGACCGTAAGAGAAGGATCATCACAACCTCGTCGTGGCATGATCGAAACGTGGGGGGCTCGGAGGGACATGATAAAAATGATAATCGAGAATTTTCCCAAGCAAGACAACATTTGAACTATTCCTTTTCCTTTTTTTATGTGGTTATACTTTTTAGATTTTAGATTATGGAATTGCCAAGTTGGAATGACAATAAATACTAGTTGTATCGCGGTTTATCGAAAAATGACTTTGTTTTATTATGAATTTGCTTAAACTAAATATCAACACAAACAAACATAGATAAATATCCACACAAAAAACAAATGCAAACCACCCAGAATAATTCCAGAACACCCAGACTAATATCCCACCTCCTAAGACCAATATCGAGTAAGCCTGTAATTAATATCTTCACCATACAGACTAATACCCACCACACACAGATTAATATATGGATGTCTTAGACTAATATCCGGCTACACAACAAAAATATCCACACATCATGAACTAATATCCTCAGTCACATAATAATATCTTATCACCACACACTAAAATCGACCACCCTACATTGTGTTCAAAATAATTTCCACAATATTGTCTTCTAAACCTGAAACCAAAACTCAAACCCTAATCGTAGACACTAAACACAAAGCTTGAACCCTGAACCCTAAACTCTAAACCTCAACCCCAAAGTCAAATCCTAAATCCTAAATTCCAAACCGTAAACCCTAATTCTAAACCCTAAAGTCTAAACCCTAACACTAAACCCTAAATTGATGTAGTCATATACAAATCAGTAGATAAACATCCACATAGAACAAATATCCAAACTACCCAGACTATTATCTGACCGTAGCAAACTAATACCCACTATACACAGATTAATATCTGACTATCACAGACTAATACCCACCACACGCAGATTAATATCTGACCATCGCAGACTAATACCGACTACACATAAACTCTAAATCCTAATCGCTAAACACTAAATCCTTAACCCTAAATCCTAATCGCTAAACCGTAAATTGGTGTAATATGGTTGGCTAAGTGTGTGATGCTAGATGCTTAAATAAAAAAAGGATCACATCGGCATAGTTACCAAAAGTGCCCCAATATCCGTACAACATAAAATATCCACATCACCCAGACTAATATTCGTTCCTACTAGGGGTGGGCATTGGTTTGACCAAACCACTCCAAACCGCTTGTGCGGTCATCCAAACCGCACCATTAAGATAGCGGTTTCATTTGCGGTTTAATCGATAAGAGGTTAGCGGTTCGCGGTTTGGGTTGACCGAAACCGCACGATAATGGTTCAAAAATCCTAATCTATCACCACGACTCGAGTAGATTTGCGGAGATCCATATCCTTCACCCATACGCATCTTCTCACCACACGGTGAGCTATCCTCACGGCGGCGGCAGCGGCAGATCCGACCATTCTCTCGCTACCCGTTCTTTCGCCTTCGACCTTCTCCAGCATCTCGATCTACCCTATTATCGAAGTTATTGTGCTTTGGAGGACTTTCAAAAACACAGTATCGGCGATGACGCTTTCTAGATCGAAGGCATCTCAATCTATCCTATTCTCAGAGCTACGGTGATTTGGCGGATCGAAGGCCTCCCCGACTTCCCGCAGCCGGACGTCCAGTTTCTCAGCGGCTGGTACTCTCTCCCTCCCTCCTCAACCTTAGCCCTCCCCGTTGTGTTCCCGTCGCACCTCCGCCAAGGGGAGACCAGCCATCGAGCCCTTTGCCCCTTCGTGAGTTTTATACTATGCATAGATTCTAGATATTAGGTATGCTTGGTGGGTTTATTAGAGTCATTGGGTATGGATCTAGGGTTGTTGATCTAGGGTTGTTGATCTAGGGTAGTCTGGAATCTCTTTACTCTTTTCTACTGATTCATCTTGAATGGTGTCTTTGGTATCAATTCAAATGCAAGTGCGAAGTGACCTGTTAGAGAAGGAAGTTGCATAAAATTTTGGTTAGATACCAGGCAGGAATGCTAGCATGTTTGGTCCATTATTGTAGCTTATTCTTGACTTTGTCGTTTGGAATTTAACTCAGCTACAAAAATAGGTAACAGGAACATAAAACTGTGTGTTGGCAGCAGAGCAATTAGTTTAGAAGAGTGCAAAAATGGGTAGCAGAAAGGGAAAGGGTACTGTCAACTAGGCAGTAGAAACCCCTGGCTCATATTGTAGGTTTTCCAAGGTGGAAACTGGAGAATGATGGATCTCACCATGAAAATGAGTCGAGGTTTGGCTTTCAGATTCAGTTTGGGATTCCTGATCATAAGCTATTCTTGATTGTGATGATGTTTGGCAAATAATGTCCGAAGTCGTGTTCCCATTAACGTTTCGTTACTCCTAATATTGTGCAAAGTCTTGCTGCTAACACATAACAGTTGTTGCATGGCAGCAGCATTAGTTCCGGTCTGAACATTCCAGGCCGCTATATAACCTTTTTCTGAGATATGAAAGGGAGATCCTGAACTCTTTTTTCCTCGACCACCGATTTTATTCGTGACCAGAATACCACAAAGAAGATTGGAGATTCACTGAAGCAACCAATAACAAAAACCAATAGGATATAGATGTAGTGCAAATACTTTGGGAAGTCGTTTTTCTTCACAAACTCACAAATACCGGAAACATCAGGAGCAGAAAATGTTTATTTCATTTGTGAATTGCTTTATTATTTCATTTGGTTTATAGTTTTACCAATCACAATGTTCTAACTATTTTCTTTCATATGCTTGTAGGGCTGTAATGAATCTGTGAATTTGATATCGAGTAGTAGGGAAAAAGAAGATACTTTTATCGGCAAAAATGAAATCAAAAGGCTCTAAGGGAAAACGAGCTCAAGCACCGATATCTATCAGCAATGTGTTTAGTTCCGATGTGAGTTCCTTTACTATGGTTAACTTCTTAGTGTGACTAGTAATGTTCGGAAAATGGTATGGAGTAGAG